TGGATCGAGAACTCGTAATTAAATGGCAGTTAGAAGATGAGATTTTTGATAAATGCCGTAATGGAGCCGTAGTAGAGGAACAAAAAGTAATTAAAGTCGGTCAGAATTGTTTTTACTGGCGTGAAGGAGTGTTGAACAATAACTGTAATGGTAATGGTGCAATAGACGGTAGGGATCAAACATCAGTCCCAAATGAATGTAGACAGGCGTTATTAGAGCTAGAACATGATGCAATGTTGGGTGGACATGTAGGCGTATCTAAAACGAAAGATAGGGTAAGTAAAAACTACTACTGACCTGGTATTTGATTTGTATAGAGACTTATGTAAAGAGCTGTCCAGTATATCAGCTAGCTGATAACACAGGCATGAAACTTATCAGTTATTAGTGAACCCTTTAGTTTCGTTAGTGGCGATATTATCGAGCAACTTCCAGTAACAGTTTGTTTGTTTGTTTTTAATTATGCACAAAGCTACACAAGGGATATCTGTACTCTGCCTACCACGGGTATCGAAACCCGGTTTCTAGAGTTGTAAGTCCGCAGACATACCGCTGTGCCACTGGGGGGCTCCAGTAACAGAGCAAAGGAATAAGTCTATCATGACAATGAGAAATGCTGCTACTAGACAAGTTATAGAAGTAGTAGCTCTAGATTTTACAAAAGCAGAGAGAATAGCGTGAGTTCTGATAGTGATATTCTCACAGGTCGGGTTTCCTAAGGAATTCTTAGCAGATTTAGGTAGCAATTGTGAAAAATGACAGAAGTAAAAATGAAATACCCAAGTCCTTATAAACCCCAAACAAATGGGATGTGTAAAAGAGCAAATGAGACAGTTAATGCCATCCAAAAGAGTAATGGTACAGAAGAATCTTGTTGGCTGGGATATGATATTTGCATATCAAGAAGTTCTCCAAGTCTCAACGAGATTTTCTCAATTTGAGCTACTATACTGTAGAGACGTAACGGGTCCATTAGACGTACCAAAAATAAGTTGGTTTAGAGACAAAGCTGACTCACGAAATGTGTTAGCATATGCCACCAGTTTGAAACGAAGGTTAGCAAAAGGAGTAAAAGTTAGTGGCTAAATCTGTTCCGAAGATTAAGGATAAACAAAAGCTTCGCTATGTTAAGAATGCTAGAGAACAGGAACTTAAGGTAAATGATTTAGTTGAGGTAATGGACTCAGTATTCGAGAATAGTTTAGCAGCAAGGTGGATAGGTCATTTCCCTATAATTAAGCGTGTCCGTAAAGTGACATATGAGGTAGATGTAGAGGTGGAGAAGTAGTGGGATAAATATTATGTAAATATGCTTAAGCTATGGTACACTAGAGTAGCTTGTGAAACTCATGTAATGACCTATTTAGAGGATGGTAATAGTAACGATAGTGAATAGAAAACTCAGAGTAAACAGGGCATGTTAAAAGTTTTAAAAGGATTAACTTCTAAGCAACAAGAAGAAATGCGTGAGATTGTGAGAAAGTATAAAAGTAGTACGTAATAGTAACGATAGTGAATAGAAAACTCAGAGTAAACAGGGCATGTTAAAAGTTTTAAAAGGATTAACTTCTAAGCAACAAGAAGAAATGCGTGAGATTGTGAGAAAGTATAAAAGTATATTTGATGGTAGGCCAGAACAGACCTGGTTAGTTAAGCACGTGATGAAAGTGACCGCCAATAGAGGAGAGATAGAGAAATTGTTCAAAGAAGGAAAAATGAGGGAATCTTTTAGCCCTTAAGCATCGGTTGTAGTGTTAGTACTTAATACTAATGGGCTAAGGTTACGTCGTGAGGTTGAATGAAGTTACTATCGGCAATTCCTTTGCATTACCTTACACGAAGTATATTATAAATAAAGCTAGCCAGGTACAGTATGCTATTAAAATGAATTTATCAAAAGGTTATTCCCAAGTCCAGTTAGAGAAAGAGGATAAAGAGAAAACGGCTTTATTTACTCCTCATGGATTATTTGAGTTCAATGTAATGCCCATAGGAGCAAAGAATGTTCCAGCAACATTTAATGAATAACATCTTGCGGGGCTTATGAGAGTCATTCACAGCTTATATATATAGTATTGGCATACTAATAATTGGGATAAGCACCTAACAGTGTTGAGGGAAGAACTAGACAGGCTGAATAAAGCAGGCTTAATCAGGTAAATGCAAGCTTGGGGTAGACTGCTTGCAGTATCTAGATTACCCAACGGGTAAAGGATTGATTTCCCCTGTACGGGCAAAGGTAAAACTACCAGAGATTCGTAGGATGATATGGTATTACAGGAAGTTTATTCTCAGGTTTATGGAAATAGCAGCACTAATTACAGAATTAACCTGTAAATTAGAACTAAACTATGTTGTGTGAGATGAGGCAAGTGAGAAGGCTTTTAGAAAATTAAAAGAAGTGCTGTGTATAAAAATAAACATAAGGAGACGTTAACCACTAATGTGCAAACTGATGCATCCAATTCAGCTATAGAGGTTGTGCTGATGTCATGGAGTACTAGCACGAGATAAAGCTTCAAATACCACTGATAAAAAAGTGTTTGGCAATCGTGTGAGGGCTTGACAAATTAAGTCATGGAAACGAGCCGTAACTCTTTATTGGTTGCACACAGAGTGAAGAATGCGGTTGAGTATATTTCTAGAGAGGTTTAATTTTGTAGTATGTTACAAATCAACGAGTGGTCTTCGAAATACAGACGCTCTCTTCCACTTGAATTATTAACATCAACCTGTGACCTCGTTCTGATTAAACCTAATGTATATTGTATATAAATCCAGGACTTAAGATCCGTCCAGCTAGGGTTAAAACTGATGTTGTAAGTGAATGTTTGGTTATACAGATTAATTTCAGAGTAAGAATTTATGAACCTACTGATTCAAACCCTATACAGTAAAGGTGTAGTGAAGGAGGCAGAGAGTGTTTCCCGATTAATTATTTATGAACATATACAAGAGTGTGAACTTTTTTTTAATGTTATAGTGATATATATATATATAGATAAAGACTGTGAACCGTAAAATGATGAATGTACTTATTGAAATTATCGGTTTTCTACAAAAGACTGTGAGTGGGGAAACAATCTACAGAACAGTGTGATGATACGCCGGAATTTCTGAGCCTGGGATAACAGAAACACACCCGAGATTGAATACTATCAATAGTGACAAATGTATTCAGGATTTGTCTGTTTGTAATTAAGCATAAAGCTACACAATGGATTATCTGTGCTCTGCCAACCACGGGTATCGATACCCGAATTCTAGCGTTGTAAGTCCGCAGACATGCCGCTGTGCCACTGGGGGGTGGCATGCATTCAGGAAAAGGAGGTGATGTCAGACACTGTAACCTCCACACCTGTTGAACAAGTAAGGCGGCCCCTAATTTCAACCATATTCTAATGGCTTAGAATGCTGTAATCCCCTAGTTCCATATAAACTGATCAAAAGCCGCCCACTTTCTCACTGCTTTCTTTCAACACCAATCGATGTTTTCTACATATAGCTTCATAATAGTTAGCAGTTTTATTTTCAACATTATTATTGTTTAAAAGGAGATAAAGGTATACCTATTGCTTGTGTTCTAGTATTATCAAATGATTTACAACAACCAAATTCTATTTTTTGTTTGCAAACTTTGGTCACAAGATAAAAATATAATTCTCAAATTTAAGTTTCAAAGAAGAAATCGGAAAGTCTAGACTGTGTATTAATACATTATTTTGTGATTGATTCAAAAATAGTCACAAAAGTTAAATATTATATCATGAGAATGATTAAAAGAACTACTATTTATCTCATATGTTTTCACTCGGTTATGTTTATCGAAATGTTTTGCCTATTATCAAATCATTATTTTTTATTTCATCTTTTTACGAACTTATTATATGTAAAAATAGTCTAAATGATTATATTTTCCTTTTAAATGAAATACTTTATCACAGTTTATTTAAAAATTTTGTCAAGGAGAGCAAAGAAGAGAATTTACCAGTAAAATATACTATTCTGATTAATAGATTAAGGACACAAATTGATGTTCCGAGTATGATAAAAGCACGTCACTAGCATATCTTTATTTTAAGCGCTTAAATGTATACATTCTCTTCGTAGTTTTGTTATCGTTGTGATACTCATAAGTGTCAAGTGGTATTACTGGCAGTAGCGCACGAGTAACAAAACATACCTAAAGCGCTCTTGACAGGAAACTGGTGTTGATCTTGTTAAGAATATAACTTTCTACTTTATTAACTCCATGCTGACATTTATCAATAACAGTTGACTTTACGACTGCCCCACTGAACTTCCATCCTAACTCATGCTCTAGGAAACAATTCATTTACTTAACTCTAAAAATTTAACTTTATTCCATATTTTAATATTGCGAAAATGCCTCATATCTTCGTCGCAGTGACTTTACAGGCTCTTACAAATCCTGACCTGCAATGAATTTTATTTATAAAATAAACTTCAAGTTAAAAAAAGAATAAACTTACAAAACTCCAAACTCTAATGTGACAATTATTGGACATGAGGGCTTTCACATTAAATGGCACAGTCAGAAAAAAAAAACCTAAAATTTTTATAAGCTTCGAAATCACGTTTAAGTTTACTTTTATTTATCTTGCACAGTTAAAATAAAACAATCAGCAATGGATAAAGGGACGTTTGTTTATATTTCTGACTAGAAGTAGATTAATTATATTAAGAGATCCATGAAAACACTACCTTACCTGAGCTTTTATTATTATTTTTTAAATCGTGTACTTTAATTGAAAACTCCAAGTGCCGTCTTAAAAAGACCGTTTTGTACAGCTGGTATTAAGCTATTTTTATTTCGTTACAGACTTTATCCTAGTATTTCTTCCCCTAATATATGAAAAGTTAATAATGCAAAAAGTGTCAGAGTAGAAAAAAAAATTCTTCTTTGTATTCTTGCTCATGGAATAGTACGTCTTTTCTTTTACATAAGCAAATGGCAAGTAACTCGAAATCGGACTTACCTGTTTTAATGACTCCTGCTCAGCATTTGCCATTATGAATCTTTCAAGTTTCGATAACTACCGGATTTCTTCCTGAAATATAAAAGTAAACGAGTATGAAATTGAAGATTAGTTTGAATAAAATGCATATCTAAGTGAGGTTCTTCCATGATTACGTACGTTTTTTGTTATTGTATCCAGTTAACAATAATAACTTTGTAGATCACCTGATTTAACTACATACCATAAAAACTACTTTCCAAGAAAAAGAAGACTTATTCAATTCATTTTAAATCTAGTACAATTAATTTAGCTGTATAGTATTATTGTTATTGCTATTTTCAATCTGAACGACCCTTAAGCGCACATTAGCTAAGCTTTAGGGTTTAGATGTGGGCGTTTCTAATGTTGAACTACAGTGAGGAAAAACAGTCAAACATGCTTTCAAAAGAATAACGTGACTGGCTGTCAATTTTAAAACACACCACAGTTAAATAGGATTGCAACACGAACCTTGGACTTTCTAATCCGCAGCCTGAACAATAACCTATGGAAACCAGAATAAATGAAAATGTAATTTAAAGAGTTGAAATTTACTGATTGTGCGAATAAAGATAAATGTTACTTCACTTACATTAAATTTTAGAAATTATTTCTGTACTTCTATATATATATATATACATACTGAGTGGTCACAAGTAAATAGACACATAATTTTTCGTTATTTAACTGATTTATGCAAACTAATTTGTGTTCACAGGGCACTATATAAATGAAAATGTTCCGCACACTAATTATCTTGT